AACCAAACATGTAAATCTAGAACCAACACCTTGTCAATCCAGAACCAAGTCTGTATATGGTATAAATATAACGTGTTAATCCAGAACCAAACATGTAAATCTAAAACCAACACCTTGTCAATCCAGAACCAAGTCTGTATATGGTATAAATATAACGTGTTAATTCAGAACCAAACAAGTAAATCTAGAACCCACACCTTGTCAATCCAGAACCAAGTCTGTATATGGTATAAATATAACGTGTTAATTCAGAACCAAACATGTAAATCTAGAACCAACACCTTGTCAATCCAGAACCAAGTCTGTATATGGTATATATATAACGTGTTAATTCAGAACCAAACATGTAAATCTAGAACCCACACCTTGTCAATCCAGAACCAAGTCTGTATATGGTATAAATATAACGTGTTAATCCAGAACCAAACATGTAAATCTAGAATCAACGCCTTGTCAATCCAGAACCAAGTCTGTATATGGTATAGATATGACGTGTTAATTCAGAACCAAACATGTAAATCTAGAACCAACACCTTGTCAATCCAGAACCAAGTCTGTATATGGTATAGATATGACGTGTTAATTCAGAACCAAACATGTAAATCTAGAACCAACACCTTGTCAATCCAGAACCAAGTCTGTATATGGTATAGATATGACGTGTTAATTCAGAACCAAACATGTAAATCCAGAACCAAACAAGTAAATCTAGAACCAACACCTTGTCAATCCAGAGCCAAACATGTAAATCTAGAACCAACGCCTTGTCAATCCAGAATCAAGTCTGTACATGGTATAAATACAACGTGTTAATCCAGAACCAAACATGTAAATTTAGAACCAACACCTTGTCAATCCATAACCAAGTCTGTATATGGTATAAATATAACGTGTCAATCCAGAACCAAACATGTAAATCTAGAACCAAACATGTAAATCTAGAACCAACACCTTGTCAATCCAGAACCAAGTCTGTATATGGTATATATATAACGTGTCAATCCAGAACCAAACATGTAAATCAAGAACCAACACCTTGTCAATCCATAACCAAGTCTGTATATGGTATAAATATAACGTGTCAATCCAGAACCAAACATGTAAATCTAGAACCAACACCTTGTCAATCCATAACCAAGTCTGTATATGGTAACGTGTTAATCCAGAACCAAACATGTAAATCTAAAACCAACACCTTGTCAATCCAGAACCAAGTCTGTACATAAAATAAATATAACGTGTCAATCTAGAACCAAACATGTAAATCTAGAACCAACACCTTGTCAATCTATAACCAAGTCTGTATATGGTATAAATATAACGTGTTAATCCAGAACCAAACATGTAAATCTAGAACCCACACCTTGTCAATCCAGAACCAAGTCTGTATATGGTATAAATATAACGTGTTAATCCAGAACCAAACATGTAAATCCAGAACCAACACCTTTTCAATCCAGAACCAAACATGTAAATCTAGAACCAACGCCTTGTCAATCCAGAACCAAGTCTGTATATGGTATATATATAACGTGTCAATCCAGAACCAAACATGTAAATCTAGAACCAACACCTTGTCAATCTATAATCAAGTCTGTACATGGTATAAATATAACGTGTTAATCCAGAACCAAACATGTAAATCTAGAACCAACACCTTGTCAATCTATAACCAAGTCTGTACATGGTATAAATATAACGTGTTAATCCAGAACCAAACATGTAAATCTAGAACCAACACCTTGTCAATCTATAACCAAGTCTGTACATGGTATAAATATAACGTGTTAATCCAGAACCAAACATGTAAATCTAGAACCAACACCTTGTCAATCCATAACCAAGTCTGTATATGGTATAAATATAACGTGTCAATCCAGAACCAAACATGTAAATCTAGAACCAACACCTTGTCAATCCAGAACCAAGTCTGTATATGGTATATATATAACGTGTTAATTCAGAACCAAACATGTAAATCTAGAACCAACACCTTGTCAATCCAGAACCAAGTCTATATATGGTATAAATATAACGTGTTAATTCAGAACCAAACATGTAAATCCAGAACCAAACAAGTAAATCTAGAACCAACACCTTGTCAATCCAGAACCAAGTCTGTACATGGTATAAATATAACGTGTTAATCCAGAACCAAACATGTAAATCCAGAACCAACACCTTGTCAATCCAGAACCAAGTCTGTATTTGGTATAAATATAACGTGTCAATCCAGAACCAAACATGTAAATCTAGAACCAACACCTTGTCAATCCAGAACCAAGTCTGTACATGGTATAAATATAACGTGTCAATCCAGAACCAAATATGTAAATCCAGAACCAAACATGTAAATCTGGAACCAAACATGTAAATCTAGAACCAACACCTTGTCAATCCAGCATCAAATCTGTATATGGTATATATATAACGTGTTAATTCAGAACCAAACATGTAAATCTAGAACCAACACCTTGTCAATCCAGAACCAAGTCTGTATATGGTATAAATATAACGTGTTAATCCAGAACCAAACATGTAAATCTAGAACCAACACCTTGTCAATCCAGAACCAAGTCTGTATATGGTATAAATATAACGTGTTAATCCAGAACCAAACATGTAAATCTAGAACCAACACTTTTTCAATCAAGAACCAAGTCTGTATATGGTATATATATAACGTGTTAATCCAGAACCAAACATGTAAATCCAGAACCAACATGTAAATCTAGAACCAACACCTTGTCAATCTATAACCAAGTCTGTACATGGTATAAATATAACGTGTTAATCCAGAACCAAACATGTAAATCTAGAACCAACACCTTGTCAATCTATAACCAAGTCTGTACATGGTATAAATATAACGTGTTAATCCAGAACCAAACATGTAAATCTAGAACCAACACCTAGTCAATCCATAACCAAGTCTGTATATGGTATAAATATAACGTGTCAATCCAGAACCAAACATGTAAATCTAGAACCAACACCTTGTCAATCCAGAACCAAGTCTGTATATGGTATATATATAACGTGTTAATCCAGAACCAAACATGTAAATCTGGAACCAAACATGTAAATCTAGAACCAACACCTTGTCAATCCAGAATCAAATCTGTATATGGTATATATATAACGTGTTAATTCAGAACCAAACATGTAAATCTAGAACCAACACCTTGTCAATCCAGAACCAAGTCTGTATATGGTATAAATATAACGTGTTAATCCAGAACCAAACATGTAAATCTAGAACCAACACCTTGTCAATCCAGAACCAAGTCTGTATATGGTATAAATATAACGTGTTAATCCAGAACCAAACATGTAAATCTAGAACCAACACTTTTTCAATCAAGAACCAAGTCTGTATATGGTATATATATAACGTGTTAATCCAGAACCAAACATGTAAATCCAGAACCAAACATGTAAATCTAGAACCAACACCTTGTCAATCTATAACCAAGTCTGTACATGGTATAAATATAACGTGTTAATCCAGAACCAAACATGTAAATCTAGAACCAACACCTTGTCAATCCAGAACCAAGTCTGTATATGGTATATATATAACGTGTTAATTCAGAACCAAACATGTAAATCTAGAACCAACACCTTGTCAATCCAGAACCAAGTCTATATATGGTATAAATATAACGTGTTAATTCAGAACCAAACATGTAAATCCAGAACCAAACAAGTAAATCTAGAACCAACACCTTGTCAATCCAGAACCAAGTCTGTACATGGTATAAATATAACGTGTCAATCCAGAACCAAATATGTAAATCCAGAACCAAACATGTAAATCTGGAACCAAACATGTAAATCTAGAACCAACACCTTGTCAATCCAGAATCAAATCTGTATATGGTATATATAACGTGTTAATTCAGAACCAAACATGTAAATCTAGAACCAACACCTTGTCAATCCAGAACCAAGTCTGTATATGGTATAAATATAACGTGTTAATCCAGAACCAAACATGTAAATCTAGAACCAACACCTTGTCAATCCAGAACCAAGTCTGTATATGGTATAAATATAACGTGTTAATCCAGAACCAAACATGTAAATCTAGAACCAACACTTTTTCAATCAAGAACCAAGTCTGTATATGGTATATATATAACGTGTTAATCCAGAACCAAACATGTAAATCCAGAACCAACATGTAAATCTAGAACCAACACCTTGTCAATCTATAACCAAGTCTGTACATGGTATAAATATAACGTGTTAATCCAGAACCAAACATGTAAATCTAGAACCAACACCTTGTCAATCCAGAACCAAGTCTGTACATGGTTTAAATATAACGTGTCAATCCAGAACCAAACATGTAAATCTAGAACCAACACCTTGTCAATCCAGAACCAAGTCTGTACATGGTATAAATATAACGTGTCAATCCAGGACGAAAAGCATAGACATTCCGCATCTTAATGATATAACAGAGATTATTCCATCAGAGAAAACATGCGTCCAATGCAGAGACAAGCTTACCAGAGTTGTTTTGGTGAATAGACATGGTAAAGCAGTATTGAAAAACAAAGTCATACATGGTAATTGGTTTATTTTAGTTTTTTTATGAGAAAAAAATGTTTTAGGTTAAGAACAGTGTTATTTTAAAAGCACAACATTCTTGCACTATTTCAACTAACTTCTGGATCCATTTCGTTCAGTTAAATTCCTATGTCATGCCCGTTGATAAACTATCCGTTTTTTAAGTTTTACAATTTAAGTGGATGTAATTATAAAACTTCCGAATCGGTTCAATCCAAAATTTTATTGTTATTTAAACTTCGAAGTTTGTGACATTTACATACAAATCAAACTCGGCATAAAACTTAAATAAAAGTTTACACACTACAGTTGGCTGCTGCATAGGTTTAATTAATGTATCTAGTTCATGTAGATTGAATAAACTATTACCAGTACTTGCTAACTGCCTTCAGGAAAATTCACTGGATCTATTATACATTTCAGATATTTCAGTTTACAATAAAGTGTGCTCTAAATGCGGAATGGAGTATAGGTATCAAGAATGGAGTGACGGTCTTCACAATTACGATGATTCAACATTCATTGGGTTTGATGCTTGTCATCTAATTAGAGCTGGCTTACAGGTATAGCTAAAGATCTGTTCAAACGCATAAACATTGTCAACCGGTTTTGAGAGAATACCGCGTGACATATGTTTTAGCCAATACACCTGATTGCATTTTACACACTAAAAACAAATTGTTGTAATTAACGTTTTCCACAAAACAGGAAAAAATCACCCCACATCACATATAATGCCAAACATATCATGAATCACAATAAATAGAAATCTAAATATACATTATGATTTTTTTTCTTCGAAAAAACAACATTCCTGATGACTTAATATTTTATTGAATTTGTGCACTGTGCATGCATGCAATGAAACATTAGCGGATGTTTCGTTGTGTTAAATAAAACTTTTATTCACTGTTTTGTAGCGACAAAACGCATTTTTATGAACCCTTAATAGTATATTTACCAATTCCGTAATTGCTCCTGTATTCTGAAATTTATTTGTATGATCGAATATTTTGAGAATTTTACCTTTTCAAAAATATAATTCTAAATTTTGTTTTCAAGTAAAGAACTAACTTTTATTTTATTTTTTTATTACCTCAAGTCAGCCCCTGTTAAAAGTTTAAGTTCCTAGAATGATAAGGTTAAAGCGAATGAAACATTTATCTATATTGAAATGTTTTAATTACATGCAAGTTTAAATGCAATGGCAAAATGTAAAGTGGCAAGTGTTGTAGAGCAATCTTCTATTTAAGAGTTAAAGTCTCTTCTAAATTCATCAAATGACAATAACTTGCGGTATGCGTTAAAAAATAATTATTGGAGGATACGGTCAGTCACATGAGTAATAGTATTGATGAAAGCCTGACACATATAGGACGATAATTTGTGAAGGCGTGACAAATAAATCTCATAGTATCCAATCAGCTTTCATATCATAAAGGACAGAAACTTCAAACGTTCGGTAATTATTAAATACTAGTACACATTCTGTTTCGACCTAAATATGATTCATAATTATTGTAGTTTTTTAAGCTATAATTCAGCTTTTAAAAATATACGTGATTGAATTTAAGAAAATCTAGAAATAGTTTGATAATTTAAGTAATACTAAGAATATGTTAATTATTGCACTTGATGTGCAACATAACATTGAACATGACATCAAATGCTCATTTTTCCCATTTAGGTACTGACGCTTTAACGTCAGAAAATCCGAAATTGAAATCAATTTATATCCAACACAAGTCGGCTGTGTTTTTTATCGTCATCTTTTGTTTTGATATACACTACGAGCAGTTAGCAGGGATTCCTGTTTTTATACGACCGCAAAAATTAAAAATTTTTTGGTCGTATATTGGTATGACGTTGGCGTCGTCGTCGTCGTCGTCCGAAGACACATTGGTTTTCGCACTCTAACTTTAGTTTAAGTGAATGGATCTCCATGAAATTACCATAAGGTTCAATACCACAAAAGGAAGGTTGGGATTGATTTTGGGGGTTATGGTACCAACAGTTAAGGAATTAGGGGCCAAAAAGGGGCCAAAAATAAGCATTTTTGTAACTTCCAGACATAACTTGTGTGTTAGTGTATGGATCTCTCTGACATTGTACCACAAGGTTCCATATCACAAAGGGAATGCTGGAATTGATTTTGGGGGTAATTGCCACCAAATTTTAGGAATTAGGGGCCAAAAAGGGGCAAAAAACAAGCATTTTTCTAGTTTCATGACAATAACTTGTGTGTAAATGTATGGATCTCTCTGACATTGTTGTGCAAGGTTCCATATATCAAAGGGAATTCTGGGATTGATTTTGGGGGTAATTGCCCAAAACGTAAAGGAATAAGGGGCCAAAAAGGGGCCAAAAATAGCATTTTTCTAGTTTCCAGACAATTACTTGTGTTCAAGTGTATGGATCTCTCTGAAATTGTACTGCAAGGTACCACACCACAAAGGGAAGGCTGGGATTGATTTTGGGGGTAATTGCCCTAAACGTTTAGGAATTTGGGGCCAAAAAGGGGCCTAAAAACAAGCCTTTTTCTAGTTTCGAGACAATAATTTGTGTTCAAGTGTATGGATCTCTCTGAAATTGTACTGCAAGGTACCATACCACAAAGGGAAGTCTGGGATTGAGTTTGGGGGTGATGAATCATAAGGGGGTTCAAAAAATTTAGGGGAGGGATTTTTTTTTTCTTTAAAATTTTCCATTTTATAAATGGGTTATTTCTGATTTATATATAAAAGCAAATAATAATGATATGGTTTGAATAGGTAAATTAAAAAATTTTAAGTTCTTAGACCACATTCATTCTGTGTCAGAAACCTATGCTGTGTCAAATATTTAATCACAATCCAAATTCAGTACTGTATCAAGCTTGAATGTTGTGTCCATACTTGCCCCAACTGTTCAGGGTTCGACCTCTGCGGTCGTATCAAGCTGCGCCCAGCGGAGCATTTTATTAATCTTTATAAAAATAAGAAGATGTGGTATGATAGCCAAGGAGAAAACTTTCCACCAGGGACCAAAATGATATAAAAGTAAGCAATTATAGGTCACCATACGACCTTCGTCAATGAACAAAACCAATACCGCATAGAAAGCTATCAAATGCCCCGAAATGAATTGTAAAATAATTCAAACGAGAAAACTAACGGCCTGATTTATGTACAAAAGAATTTACGAAAAACAAATATGATATACAGCAACCAACGACAACCACTGATTTACAGGTTCCAGACTTGGGACAGGCAAATACAGAATGTGGCAGTGTTAAACATGTTTGCGGGCACCCAACCCAATTATTTATATATAAAACATCCAAAGAATTTTTTACACTCCAAAATAGTTTATTTCATTTCTTTCATATGCTTTTTCACAAATGATAATGATTTCTTTGATAGTAGTAAGGGAACTAGTTAAAAGAATTAAAAGATTGGTGGTAGAACACCTACTAGAGACCGAGATGAAACAATATTTAATGTAATTTAAGTAACCAATTTAAATAGGGACCTTCAAATGATCAGAGGAGGCCTTAAGCTGAAACGTGGTTATGATATGATTGTTTACTATTTGAATCACTGTGGAGCACATGGACCTGGATGTAGAAGAATTTATTAAGTCGACTTATTTTGCAGTTTTCTATTAAGATGATGGATCACGAAACAGAAAGTTTGATTGAAATATTTAATAAGGAAATGTTTACTCTTCTTATAGAATCATGTGGCAATTAGTAGAACGATAAACATGCTGGCAGATACACTAGACGAAAATCTGAGGCTTCATGACCTAACGAATGCTTATTTGATGTTTGAAGCACTAACTGAGCATTCATATTCTTTCTACTGCTATCTGTGTGGCTTCTATCCGACAACGATTGTGATGGACGGTATACGAAAGACTTGTTTTCGACATGCCGGTTGGTATAAGTATTAGTTATCCATATATATATATGATATAATTGTGTTCACACAAATTTTAAAAAGTCCCCTGATTTAGTCTAGGTCGGCTTTCACGTTTTTGTGATTATCGTTTTAAAGCATGCGGTTCGAAGAATAAATCCTTCACTTTATACAATTTGTCACACTTGATCCATTCTAGACAACCTTCTAGACAACCTTTTGCCTTACAGTTACGCAAATTTGATTGACTTCCTTTATTCTGTGTCACGTATATTCTTCTAACTTTGATATAACAAACCAAAGAAGGATATAATTACAAATCACTGCATATTACTAACATGCTATACGTCCTTAATTAATATCATTACACACAATATTTCCTAAATGAAAATAACTATAAGATCTCCAACAATGTTCTCGAGATACAACATGAATTGGAGTAAAAGCTTTATATTTATTTATTTACACCATGCAGAAGAAATAGGTAGTAAAATAATAAAACAAAAGTATGTTTTTGGTTTCCCACCTTCATATTAAAATGTTGTTTAAATTCACTTGCAATGACATTTAAGGAACAAGTGAGTTGACAGAATAGTTATACACCAATACTCCAGTCGCAGATATTTTAATCATTCCCTTGAATATGTCTTTGCTTAATTTTTGAGGCTTAGCTTCTCAGACTTGCAGTAGAAATAATTCAACGATTTGATTGCATTGTCATGTCTGGTACAGTTTCAGATATGGTTGCACCGGCAGATTTTACAGAATTACCCGAAACAGTTGATATGGATTCATTTTGGAAGAAAGTGGAACAAGAGTTGATAAGTCCTGGAGTCAGACATGGTAAACATTTTCCCTTGTTAATCGCATGTATATTGATGAGGCAACTTAGTAAACGAGTGCAAATATGTCCCCAAAAAAAATCGAAATATAAAGGAATGCTGCCTCATTGCATTAAACCTGTCACTAATATGATAAAACCAAATTGTGTATTAGATTTTTGTTGATGAAACACATTATTGAAATAAATATAAAAATAAGAAGATGTGGTATGGTAGCCAATGAGACAACTCTCCACCAAAAAGCAAATGACGTAGAAGGTTAGCAACTATATATAGGTCACCGTATGGCCTTCAACGATGAGTAAAACCCATACCGCAATGCATGCTATAAAAGGCTCTGAAATGACAAATGTAAAATAATTCAAACGAGAAAACTAAAGGCCTGATTTATGAACAAAACAATAAACAAAAAAACAAATATGATATACAGCAACAAACGACAACTACTGAATTACAGGCTCCTGGCTTGTGACAGGCACATACAAAATGTGGCGGGGTTAAACATGTTTGCGGACGACCCAAACCTACACTTATTCATTTGTTGACATGTTACAGGAAACCGACTAAATGAGATAGTGCCAAACTACGAATTTTGGGCACCTTGGATTGGAAATGAATCAAGACGAAGCAACCATGTCTTCAATACAGAAAGTTTAAAATGTCCAAGAAGACTTCACATTCCAGACGAGACTGAACCAGTTCCTGACGAAGTTTTAAAAAGTTTAAGGGATGAAAAGGTACACGTAATGTATTTTTATGCGAGTCATGTATACTTTTGTAATACACTTTACAGTATTTGTTCTGTCTTTTTCACATTCTACTAAGAGTTTTCAAATATTATCATATTTCCAGGGTAGGTTTCGGTGTATGTATTTTCCTGATACATGTAATACATTTTGTAACAACATAATTTAAAAGTAGTGTTCTGAATGTAATCAGAATCCACTTATAATATGGCAGCCAGTGAAGTGCATATTGGTTGTTGTTTTTAACTTATAATTTGTTTATGTAAGAAATGAAAGGAAACCCTTATATAACTACAATTTCAAATGGTATAGTTCATAGATCAGATCAAATAAACGGTTTGAAGAAGAATCGCAACGACTAAAATTTGGGAGAAACACCCCTCCAATCTTAGGAACGATGGACAAAATATAATGGAACAAGGCAAATATAAACGCGTATTTAAAACAAATAATGAAACTAAATGTTTCCTTTAACCATACGAAACCGTTAGATCAAAAGTGTAAGCATGTCTAGCTCGACAACCCTCTATCACTACTTGGTCAATATTTTGAAAAATTCAGTTAATATGAATTATTGATCAAATATATGATAGTAATTTCTATGTAAAAGAGTCATTTTCAGCTTTAATACCGTATTGAAACGTTATATGTAAAATATATGTACGGCCAACGTCAATCATATATTCTTCTTTATTTGAAGGTTTCAAGAATTCGACGTTTCTGCAAAGAATTGGGTATACCGGACAACGGTTCAATGATGGATCTAATCATCAGACTTCGTGAACATTCAATAAAACAGACTGATTATGACAGGGCATATGAGAAAATCTTTGGCACATCTGGTAAGTTTCATTGCGAAATCTTAGCGTTTTGAAAATGTTTATTTGGCTGAATTTTATTTAAAGATACAACAGAATAAAATTAAACGAGTAGAAAGTGATTTAATTTTAATTTTACAAGAAAAAAAATGGAACTCAGTCGGCCAATCATTCTTTCACATTGAATCAATATTCAAATGCCAGTTACAAACTTTTTTATGAGGGGGAGGAGGGTAAATAGGAATCACAGTCATTCCGTCTGGATGTCTGCCTGCCCATATGCTCTGTAAGCGCAACTTTACGACTGGGCGGACAGTGGTGACATTTTACACAGTTAGACAACATCACATGAGTTTGCATACATACGAAAGCCCGTTTATGACCACCAAAAAATATACCACGAAATTTAAAAAACTTCTGATCACGAATTGAAATCGTTATCATGAATTGTACAATTCGTTATCACGCATTAAATAAGTGATAACGAATTTGTGGAATTAGATATTACATATTGTTGTAATTTGTGATCACAGATTATATACGTTATCATATATTTTTGTAATTTGTGATAAAATATTTGTAGAACACTACGTTAAAACAAATTTTGGAATTCTTTATGACGGATTTAATCCGAAAATCTGTGATAACGGTTTTATTTCATGATCACGAATTACCAAAATCTGTGATAACTATTTCAAGGGATTCGTTAATTTCTGGAAATGCTCAATGTCATTCGTGAAATCTGTAAGGACAATATAGTCTTTAATGCCGAATGATTATTACAATGAAAGACAATAGCGGCATTGATCACATGTATATAGAATGAATTTGTAACTATAAATTAAGAGTAGAATCCTACCGTGCAACTTGTTTTAAATTGACTAAAAATTCTGCAAAAAATGTTCATATATCAATACGAAAAGAAGGGTGATAAAATTTTCTTTTTAAAGTGTCAATCTGCCTAAGAATCAGGCAGTGGTGAAAACATGACAAACAAAAAACCACGCAAGTTTACATTAATTTATGTTCAAAATGTATAATGGTGCATGAAAATAACATTCGTTTCCATTTCCTGTTCTGGTATTTCAAGATATAATTTGGTTGAAATGCACTAGAAATTAACAATTAAGGGGAGCTAATTCCGTAATTTGCTATCATTCTAACCAAAAGTTATTTAGAGATTTCTTAAATTACCAGACACAGAGAAACGAAAGACCTACCATTTCTAACTCAGGATGAGGGTAACTTCAAAACAGGATGGTTAGGTCGGTGGGTTTTTTTCGGTCATGTTTTGAAATTCTCCTAAATTGCCTGATTCTTACAAAGACTGGCACTTTAAAAAAATACATGAATAAAATTGAGAATGGAAATGGGGAATGTGTCAAAAAGACAACAACCCGACCATAGAGCAGACAACAGCCGAAGGCCACCAATGGGTCTTCAATGCAGCAAGAAACTCCCGCACCCGGAGGCGTCCTTCAGCGGGCCCCTAAACAAATATGTATACTAGTTCAGTGATAATGGACGTCATACTAAACTCCAAATTATACACAAGAAACTAAAATTTAAAATGATACAAGACTAACAAAGGCCAGAGGCTCCTGACTTGGGACAGGCGCAAAAATGCGGCGGGGTTAAACATGTTTTTTGAGATCTCAACCCTCCCCCTATACCTCTAGCCAATGTAAAAAAACAAACGTACAACAGTACGCACAGTAAAACTCAGTTTAAGAGAAGTCCGAGTCCGATGTCAGAATTGGAAACAAAAGAAAATAAACAAAATGACAATAATACATAAATAACAACAGACTACTAGCAGTTACTGACATGCCAGCTCCAGACCTCAATTAAACTGATTGAAAGATTATGTCTTCATCATATGAATATCAGGCACAATCCCTCCTGTTACGGGTTTAGTATTATACCATCATAAAATATATGAGAAGAACATAACCCGTGTCATGCCAACAACTGGTTTTAGAATAAATATGTTTAATAATGTATGCTAGTTTAATTTTGATCCTGGTATCTATGATGAGCTTATTTTGATAACTTAATTTGAAGATTTAAAGATATCAAATGGAGTTTATGTTATATTGCAAACAATGTTATTACTAATATAAAATAAGAAGATTAAGTATGAATGCCAATGAGACAACTATCTACCAGAGACCAAGTGACGTAGATGTTAACAACTATATATCACCGTAGGGCCTCATCCATATTCACCAACCATATCGCAAGCTATAAAAAAACGCCCCGACATGTCGAAATGTAAAACAATTGAAACGAGTAGACCAACGGCCTGATTTATATACAAAACAACAAACGAATAACAGTAACAAACGAAAAACAGCAACAAACGAAAAACAATTATGATATACAGCAACAAACGAAAAACAATTATGATAAACAGCAACAAACGACATCTCAATTACAGGTTTCTGTATTGGGACAGGCACATACATATGGTGGGGTTAATCATGTTTACGGGCGCCTAACAACATCCTCCTAACCTAGGACAGTGGTGTAACAGGACAACATAAAATCAGTTGAAATGGGCTTAACGTATCAGATCGATACATAGCAAAAATAAAAAATAAATTTATTTTTTAAATTCAGGTGGATGGCTTATTGCTGCCTGTCCTCATTCTGTGGTTTATGCAGCGAAGAGTCTCCTCAGAGGTGAAAGTCCGAGAGATTTCGTCGATTTGATGAGATCATTCAAACATCGACCGAACATCTTGATATCGGATATAGCCAACAGAGTAGCTGCCAGCGGAAATAAAATCACCCGCATGTTTTATCCATTTGAGGGACGTGTGGCAGAAAACACCAACGAAAACTTAGAAAAGGCTAAAAGTGGGCTGTTTACTTGGGAATTGGGGTGCCTTAATGAGATCGGGCCAGAAACAACAGTCAACCAGTCAATAAGCAATGAAAAAAATCCAACATCCGGGTCATCGGAACACTATAGCTTATTTGACTGGTTCCACGAAGATAATACCAAGGATGTTAAGGAAATTCTGAGAAAGGTATCTTTAGTGGAAGGATTAGGGTCATTTACCAACTCCCAAGTTGTTGAACAGTTTTTCAACAGCATGAGAAGAGATCTTTATTTCCTAAACGAGATGTCTCCAGCTGTTCATGTTTTCATCTGTCGCCTCATGTTGCAATTCCACAATGAGAAATCGAACAACTTAATAAAAAAGCAACAGAGTAAATTATTTCCAACAGAGATGTCTTTAAACCAGTTAGGTCAGTTATGTCAGCAGTTTGGAGACGACATCAATGGTATACAAACATCAATTGTTGAGAATTTGGAAATACGAGAAGATCATGGATCAGGAAACGTTGGTCAGCCATCAGATGTCACCACACAGAATATTTGCCCTACAGCTACTAGTATGACTGATAGGTCACCTTCCGCAGTTCCTTTACATT